GAGGTCTCGATCTCGCGGACGTGATGATCGACCTAGATCAAGGTCCCCTCGAGGTCGAAGTCATGGAAGAAGTCAAAGAGAGGATAGCTATGATGATGATCGCCATGAAAGAACTGAAAAGCGAAGGGATCGTGAAGAGAAACGTCAACGAGAGCATTATTCTGTAGTATGCTTTTTTCATGCAAACTTTCATATTTTAATTGGCTTCTTTGTTATGCTTTATCATGCAAACTTGCATATTCTAATTATCATATAATTTGTTCATCTTTTAGGCCCCATCTGCAACTGTTGTTGTGAAGGGTCTCTCGCAGAAAACAACTGAAGAAGATCTGTATCAAATCCTTGTAATGCTCTACCAATGTGATTGGCTTTCTTAATGTTATTTGTATTTGCATTCAAGTGTTTGGCTTGCCTGGATGCAAGGCTTGCTACTAGATTTATACAATAACAAACAGGAATGATACTATTAGCACAAGGATGACTTGATAGAATGTAATGTTTTTTGGTTCTTCCTTATCAACAGGCTGAATGGGGACCCCTTCGGCATGTCCGTGTGATCAAAGAACGAAATTCTGGCATTTCTCGTGGTTTTGCTTTTATTGATTTTCCTACTGTGGTATTTTGGCGTGTCTTCCATTTTGGTTTATGCTTTCACCCTCTTAAATTATTTCAAAGAATAATTTAAGGTGGTGCTAATTGTTGAGAGCAGGGAGCAGCACGGGCAATGATGGATAGGATTGGGGATGATGGTCTTGTTGTGGATGGCAAGAAGCTCTGTTTTGAGTACAGGTGCTTTGGTCTCCTCATAAAATCCTATATTTAGCTTGCTGTCATATCTCCCTGAACTTCAATTGCAATCTTTCACATTCATAAGCAGTTGTCCTCTCTGTTATTTTTTATTATGAACAAAGTCTGCTCTGCCTGCACTAGTTATTATGTTCCGCAAGCAAAAACATTGCGCTTAATTATGTTGTTTTACAGCAGCAAGCCAACTGGGGGGACAGGTGGATCTTTTGGTCAAGAAAGTGCTGGGAGGTCAGGTCATGCTAATCATAAAAGCATCATGGTGCCATCTGATTGGATGTGCATTATTTGTGGTTGCGTCAATTTTGCACGACGAACATCCTGCTTTCAGGTTTGTTCCTTCTGTTAGTTTTTTATTGATTGGGGTGACTTAAGGTTATCTAAGTTGGAGATCAACTTGATGTTAGACAAATTAGCAATCAATTTATCTCTTTAAGAACTTGGTGCAAAATTAAATATCATGTTTAAGAACTCTTGATGATTTGACGAGAGCATACAACTGGACATTAAGAAAGTTCTTTGAATAGCAATCAATCACAAATTGATCTAAAGAATGAGATTGCTAAAAAACTCAAAAACTTCTGTATCACTGGCCCAAGCCCCTTGAATGTAGTAGTAGAGTGCTCTTCAGTGGAGCTTTCAGTATGGGGTTCAATCACGATTGTACTGAAAACTCCAGTCCTGAACGAAAATTTCTTTCAGAATCATATTTGGGTAGAAGAAAAACTTTTTACTACTACTACCTGCGAAACTAGACATCATTTATGCTTCTGCACCTGATAATTTGGAGCTACCTGCACATCCCACCTACAGATTCTTGTTCTGTATGTAATCTCTCGTACAAGAAAAAATTATTTACCTCGAGCTGTCCTTTTTTATGTGTCAAAAAGTCCAACTCTTTGAGTAACTGAACCTTTAAGACATTTTCTATAACCACAGATTGCTTAACATTTATTATGTCAAATTGTTGAAGCTCCATTTTGAATCTCTGTAGTGTAATGAGCCGCGGACAGAGGATGCTCCACCAGCAGATATGACTTTATCAAATCCTGCATCATTAGGAAAGAAAGGATCAGATGCAGGTTGATACTAGCTATTCCTTGTTTGTTTATTGGGTATATGATGTGCCATGTCTTAACATCGGCATCTAATCAATTGTGAATTGATGTATTATCAGGCCCTACTCATGTTTTGGTCGTGCGTGGATTAGATGAAAATGCTGATGAGGAAATGCTTCGCTATGAGTTCTCCAAACATGCTCCGATTAAGGTATCGATATGTTGAACATGTATAATTCTTGCACGCATGCATGTATGGTTATGCTCCAACGATTGATTGTGATTGTGCTGTGTCCATAACATGTACAGGCATGTACTAGTTACTATGCATCTTTGCGTGCATGCTTTGGCTGTATGCTTGAGGGACTTATAGTATTTGGTCAAACTTATATTTGATTGTAATGTGCAGGATCTTCGTCTTGTCCGGGACAAGTTCACTCATGTTTCAAGAGGATTTGCATTTGTACATTTCCATTCGGTATGCAATCTTTGCTCTAGTGGTAATTAAGTGACTTTCTTTCTTGCACTCCTGCTGTTCCAAGTCTTTCATAATTCAAGGTTCTAAATATAAGAATCACCAAGAAATCATATTCTTGAAAGTTATCCTGTATGTATTAATATTGTTCAATATCTAGGCTGTTAAGACTTAATTGACTATCCAGATTTATCTAGGTTGTTGAAAAATGTACTGCAGCTGTAACAGCTATAGAGCTCTCAGTTATTATTACAGTCTAGAGATTATTAAGTGCGCCTTGTAAAGGCTTTGTTAAGTCTTTTCATTTTTGCTATTTCTTTTTCACCATGCCTATACAGTGGAATGATTAGTTTATTCCTGAATTTGGTAAGAGATAGTACTCCATATCATTTTGTAATAAAATCAAT